GACTCTTTCCCCCCATATTCTTAAGCTAAACTCCCTCTTGAAACCTTGTAAGCCAGTCACTTCTTGCCTTTATTGCCCCCTCATTTTAGGTAGCCAATGTCTAAGTTGCCCATCCCTATCTACCCTGTGTACAGAGTGGATAGCATTGGAACTTGATTTGAAGGTTCTTTCCCTCTCTGTTGGTATTTAGAGTAACTACCGCTCTGAGTATAGGTCAGGTTCATCATGAAGATATAGCTTCTGTCACTGTAGCTGTTCCAGTCTGCTTGTCCTTTCTCGTGGGAATGTCTCCCCTCATAAGGTTGTGGATGGGATTCAGGATTCCACCTAAGGTCCTATGTCATTGCATGAGGCCTATGTCATTGAGCAAGTTGTAGAATCCCTTTTAGGTATTCCAATCAGTTATAGATAGGCTGACGGCGGGCTTACAAGTTTTCTCTAATCATGTTTCCCAACATTCCTTTCTATGCCACTCAAGTGTCTATTTTACAATAGTAGACAAGGGAAACTAATATTCATAAGGCAGTCAAGGATTTTCGTATTATTTACCCTCTTCAAGCTATACCTAGATCCCTCTATCTGGAGCCTCTTGTTCCAAGGTTGAGTATACATCACTATTTACCTCTGTCCCACTAGGCCATGCAAACTTGTCTCAGTGTTTCCCTATCTATCTTGTTCTTCTGCCTTCTCCCCCTTCTTGTATTGTACTCCCCAACACCCAAAGTAAACCCCTCACCCCAACCCCATTGTGGTTACCTTATATTCCATTAGTTCTTCCCTCCATTTAAGACAGTCTATTTTATCCAGTAATCTACCTGACCTTCCCACCACCTGGATCTCTGTGTTTACCTTTTTTCACATTGTAATTGTTTTGACCATAGACTGAACTCCCAGATCCTCTGTTCTTATAATTTTATTCTGTTCTTCACTCTTCCATTTGTTGACTGAGTTCAGATTGATGTTGCCATGAACGTCATTTTGTAGTTGTTGTCTGTTCTTGTTAGTTCTCAGTCCACAGAACTTCCTTTAGGATGTTTTTCATAGCAGGGTTGGCTTTGGCAAAATCCCTTAGTTTCTGATTATTCTGGAATGTTTTGATTACACCATCGTATTTGATTGACAGCTTTGCTGGGTAGAGGATTCTGGGTGGCAGTTTTTTTCTTTCAGGGTTTTAGATATCTCTCCCCACTGCCTTCTTGCCTGCATGGTTTCTGTTGAGAAATCTGAGCTTAATCTGATTTGCTTGCCTTTGTATGTTATATTTCTCTTTTCCTAGCTGCTTTCAAAATCCTGTCTTTATCTTTGATTTTGGAGAGCTTGATTATTATGTGTCTTGGTGATTTTCTTTTAGGTTCTATCCATCCTGGGGTTTGTTGAGCTTCTTGAATGCTTATCTTTTAACTTTTCATGATGTTAGGAAATTTTTCTTCCAGAAGCTCTTCAACTATCTCCTCTGTGGGCTTGTGTGATTGTTCCTGTTCTCAAATGCCAATAATTTTTATGTTATTCCTCTTCATATTATCCAACATGAATCTTACTTAGGACTTCTTCAGATTTTTTATCCTTTTTTGTATTTGTTCTTCTATCTTAGTAGTGTTGAGAGCTTTATCTTCTAGCTCACTAGTTCTGGCTTCTATCTCTTCACTTCTACTCCTTTGCCCTTTCAGTGTATTGTCCATTTCTGATATTCTATTATTAATTGTTTGGACCTCTTTCTGTAGGTTTTGAATTGTTTCCAATGCTGTATCTATCTTATTTGATTGTTCCTGTAGCGCTTTCCTGACTTCTTCCTTATTTTTCTCAGCTGCATTGTATAGTGCTTTGATACATTTTATAATGATTTTTCTGAATTCCTTCTCAGGCATTTCCAAAGCCTGCCCATCTTCTAGTATGGAGTATAGGTCTACTTCCAGCTCATTTGCCTCAGTCACTTTATCTGCAGATATGGTCAGCTGCTTCTGTTTTCTTTGGGCATCTTCAGGTGTTACCTGTGGCCTTAATACTCAGATGGGTATGTAATTTGGTATTTTTTATGCTTTCTGATTGCCTCCAGTTAGATGTGATCAGGAAATGGGCTTCCCCAATCTTCTTCTTAAGAAATTTCAAAATACCACTGTTGGTCATTTTGACGTAACTTAGGATTTAATTTTCGGCCTGTTTACTTTTTTGTCTTCTTGTCCCGCTCCACAATCCCCGTTAAGGCCTTTTTTCTAGTTGTAAACTGTTCAGGGCCGGCTGTGGCTGTTTGGTTGTAATTGGAAACCATCTCTTTAAATTTCAAAGAGATCTGTGTGTGTACATGGTAGAACCCTCTGAGGGTGGGGCTGGGGTGCCCACTAGCTCAGGCACCCCTATAGTCACCAAATGGAGGTGCTCAGACAGCAAGGAACCAATGATCTGCTACCAAAAGAGAAGAATGTCCACACCTTTACCTCTGTGCTTCTGCCAGGCGTCTGTGGCCGCTCCGATCCTTCCCCCACTTGGTCTCAACCAAGATGGCGGCTCCTGGAGCAGCTGAGCGTCTCAAATTAGAAAGGTATGGATTTCTTGCCTCTGCCACAAATTCCCCCAGCTGTGAGCCTTCCAACCTTCTAAATATTCCTTTATATGTGGTTCAGAGTTCTGGGACCATCCCCTGAGCCTGCTTGGTCGGGTATTCTGTGTTGTGGCTGGCGGAGCTCCTTTATTGAACTTCCACCCGATCCACCATCTTGTTTGTTCTCCATGGGTTTATTTTTAAAGTATGTGTTTTAATGTTTCTGCAATCTGTGGATGGCTGCAGACAAGTTCTCTCAGTAGTACACTTGTCTTAGTCTTATTAGGATGTTTTGGGCTATGGAAAAAACATGATTTGAGATCTGGGTTAATGGCAAATTTTAAACAAACTGAAGAGGACATCTTCCCAAATCACTGAAGCTTTGCAATAAGTTTAGGGAATGCTGTCCCGCACAAAAACAAACAAACATAGACTGACAGACAATATTGTTTAGATGGATCAAGTGTTTAAGGAAGGCTGGGAAGACCTCAAAGATGAATTCAAGGCAGAGAGGTCCACTCAAATGGTTTTGGCAACTATTTTTTAGAATTCCAAAGGAGTAATCTTGATAGAATTTCTCAAGGACACAGGACAATCAAAAGGGCTTATTATGAATAAGTTTCAAGAACACAAAACTGGACTGGTCAGAAAATGGTCAGGAAAGTTTTGCCAAGGAATTTTTTGCCATCATGACAATGTTGTTGTTGTTGTTGTTAAGTGTTAGGTTCCAACCCATAGTGACCCTGTATAAGGTTTCTCAGGAGTGGCTGGTGAGTTTGAACCACCGACCTTCCAATTCAAACGGACTCTGCACTTCAGCAAATTAGCCCACAACACCACACCAGGACTTAATCACAACATTCTTTGAGGGTAGCAAGGACTGCTTTGAGATCTTACTGAGAAACCTTACGCCTTTCATCCTATATCCCTGGTCTTGCCCCTGCAGTGTTTTTGGTTCTGAAAACTAAAAGAACATTTGAAAAGGAACATGATGCGAGTTCCTGGAGTGTGCTAAAACTGCTGTTCGGCGTGGCTGAAATCCAAGATATGCAGAATTATTTGTGGAAGGGTTTGTTGTTATTATTATTAAGTGCTGTTGAGTGATTTTGGCTCATAATGATCCCGAATAAGGTTTCTGAGGAGCATCTGGTGAGTTTGAACTGCCAACCTTGAGTTTCAAACCAACCTTGTGGTTGAGTGCTTATCCTACAGAGATGGAAATATCACCTTCATAAGTGTGTAGACCTAGATGAGGAATATGTTGAGAAACAATAGCACCGCATTAATATTTTTGCTTAATAAAGTTCTTGAAGATTTTGTAGCAATGCTATTGATTTATCTTTGTAGGCTTTGTCAGTCAGCCAGCCACTTAGATTCTAGTTAATTTTATTAAAACCCAAACCTTCAGTAGGATTCCAACTCATAGCAAGCCTATGTAAGATTTACAGGACTGTAGATGTTTAAAGGAGCAGTCTCTTCTTCAGTGCAGGGGCTGGTGGGCTTTCTTTGCAGTTAGCAGGCCAACGCCTAACCTGAGTTAAGGGTTAGGACTTAACCACCAGGAGTTAAGTCCTAGTAAGAAAATCAAAATCCATGGTAAATACAAATAACAAAAAAGGGTGTAGTGATGGTTTGCAATGGTTTATAATTCTTCTTTCTGTACAACTGCAAAGTCCTCAGGACTCCTGCCTTTTACAGTATTATAGAAAACTTAACAAAATTGCTACACTGCATCCTTTTCCAAAAAGCAAAGAGGATATCCTGTTGTTCATTCTAACCAGAAATTATTCTTAATTTTATGCTTATTTTGTCATATTTGATTTTTGTGGGGGTATCAAGAGAACTTTCAGCAATATCATTTTAGTTTGAATTTTACAAATTATGTTAACATGGTAACTGCGTTTTTTCTTCTTCAGTGATTTTACTTTTGATGCTCACTTAGGTTGGGTAAAAAAACCAAGTCATGAAGATCCCCTAGCTCAAAATATCTCAGTAGTTTTTAGAAAGGTCCGAGTCAGTTATTAATAAACTTCACGTATTTTGATACATTTTCTAGCATCCCAGTCCTTGGGGCTGTTATTTTGAATGATCTCAGGCCTAGTTTGAGCTGAGGAAAATACATCCACCCTACATCTCAGAAGAGGAATAGCTTTAGAAGTCAGATCCGGAGGCCTGGAAATGTCTCCTTCTAGCCCATCGCCTCATCCTGTTGACCCTCAACGGCTGCCACAAGGTCGCCACCTGCCCTAAAATTACGAATGGTTTCTGAGGCCGGGAGGTTGCGGGTGCGGAAGGCTGGGCCCCTGAGCACTTCACCGGCAGTCCTCACCGCTCCGATCGGCCCGCGGTCCAGGCTACCGCGTGCTGGGGCAGCGCGCGCAGCTCCGGGTCCACGCGCCGAGCCCAGGCCGCGCCGGCCGCCAGCTACGCCCGGCGCTCCGCCTTCCATAGGCCGGCGGCGGCCATGGCGGCCAGGCAGCTCCCGGCGTTGGCGGGCGCCGCACTCAGAAAGCAACAGCGCACCGCCTCGCCACCAAAACTTCTTTGGGCCAGAGCAGGGTTCCGCCAGTACTTCAGCTTAGCCCTCTGCTCCGCTTCCGAGGGAGACCGTTGCAACTCCGGGAGCCGCTGGCAGAGCAGGCCGGAGGGGACCGGGAGGCGCCCATCGAGGAAAGAGTTAACTGTGGCGGAGAGGCGGATCGTGGAGCTGCACGCGGCCGCTTGCGCGGTGAGGCCCCCCTTCATCTGCCCGCCCCGCCCCTCACCGTGCGGCCGGGAGTCAGGGTCGGTTCTTGAGCGATCTCCGCGGCCCTGAGCCCCCGGAGGCCGCCCAGCAGAGGGAAGGAAAGGTTGCTGGGAGCTGACTCACTCCTACCTCCCGCCTCTGATGTGCACGTTCACGTCCCACACCAATGGTTTCGTTTGGAAACTGGCCATAGTTTCACAAGGCAGATAAGGGTTTATTGTTTGTCCTGAATGTGACTCGTTTCGATTCAGCATCCGAACTAAACTTGGCTGCTGGATGGGTGTCTCTTCACTCTACAGTGTGTGTATGCTGGTTGACATGGAAGTGGTTAAAGAATTGATAGAGGGGAAGGAAGTTGTAGGAGTTGATAATGTCATCAGAAAAAAATGTATTGCGTGTTTATTTGAATTATAAGTTACACATTTTTACAATTCTGTGATTTCATCATGAAAACAACAACAAAAGATAAACACTGCCTACTTCATTTTAGTTTTTGCATCCCACCCTTTCTTCTTTCCAGTCCACTCAACAGATCAAAGTCACAAGGCAAACTACTCAGGTGTTTGGCTCTTTGCAAACACTATTGCACTATTGAAGTATGTTTTCTAATGTTTTGTGGATTTGACCATTGTCCTCATCAGCATCTAATTTTATCATGTCCCTTCACAATTTCTAACATCCTAGACCACGTGCGTTTAAAGGTTGTGTATTATTTTTGTATTGCTTTTTCAAATAAATAGCAATAAAAAAGGGAACAATTAGATTACATAATAGAGACACAAAACCCGATCTGAGATTAACCTAATCGATGAGAGGGGGTGGGGGTGGGATGTGTGTTTGTGTGTGTGTACATACTTACGTATGTATGTACACACTAGTGTTAACTGCTGTGGCTTGAGCCAAAGGTGGTGGTTGTTGTTATGTGCCGTTGAGGAGTAGTGAAAAAACTTTGGAGGTTGGCTAAAGTTGACAGGTTTTTTTTTTTTTTTTTTTTTAATTGATAGTTTCTTGTTGTTGTTAAGTAAGTTCAACACATAGTGACTCTGTCCGTATAGGGTTTCCGAGGAGAGGTTGGGGGGGGGTGGGGTTGAACCATTGACTTTGCAGTTAGCACTTCAGTGCTTATCCTACATCACCACACCAGGACTCCTTGACAGTTAATAGGCCCTGAAAATCCATGACCCATTTTAGTGTTTACAAGAATAAAGTTTCATCAGGAAATAACTGGCATCTTTTAATTGCTCTTGTTTATATTCTCCTTAAAATGGCATGTGTAGTTTGTTTCTACACTTCACATTTGACTTGGGATATAAGCAAAAAGTGTTTGTCTTTGTAGAGCAAACAGCAGTGGCATTTAAGGACAGGCTCAATCAGGCCCAGGAAAGGAAAGGAACTTTCTTCTGTCTTAGAGTCCACCGTGGTTTCATCAGTGTCAGCATCACGGGTTAAATGACTGTCCAGAAGCCCATAAGTAAACCCAATAACATGCTTGTTCTTTGACTTTTTCAACAAATCAGACTCCTCACAATGGTCTTTGTACGCTTCAAGGCAAATCATGCTCTTACCTTTCTCCCTGTGCTGATGTGCATCACTGAGCATCCTGCTCTCCAGTCAAACTGTCAGCACTCTTGAACATCTTGGCTGCCACCATTGTGAGAGGCTCATTTACTGAGGACAAATTAAGTTTGTGTGGGCCGCCAACAAGCTCAAAGGTGCTCAGTCAATATGGAAAGCAGGAGAACAGGTGCAAGCACAGAGGCAATCTGTTAGGCTTCCAGGTTGCCAGATAATTGCCCTCAAAAGACTCCCAGAAGCTATGAAAAGTGAAAAGAAAGCCGCTACAGAGCTCCCAGTATTTGTTTTTGTTTTCCTTTCAAGTTCCAAACTCAGACTTTGTAAATAAAGGAGCACGTCCTAACAATCTGAAGTATGGAGTAGTTTTTCATGCTCCTGGTTTCATGTAATTAGCTTCTGTCATCCCAAAGGATTTGGGAGGCCCCTTAGGCCAGCTTTGGTACTTACTTGCTGGGTATCTGCTGCCTTGGTCTACCTTTGCTGGAATGCCTTAGAGTGGACCTAGACTTGAACTTTTATCTGCCCTTTTGCTGCACATTTATTCATGAAGTACAGAAGGTTAAATCCTCACTTAGAATTCAGCCACTAAAAAAGACAACCGGAAGCTGTTCCTGACCTTGGCAAAAAATGTGTTTTGGAGACATGTGAATTTCACCTGTGTTTAAATGGAAAGGCATTATACACAGGTTTTTGTTGTTAGGTGCCATTGAGTTGGTTCCATTCCACAGTGACCCTGTGCACATTCGAATGAAACACTGCTCAGCCTTGCACCATCCTCGCAGCTGTTATGCTTGAGCCCAGTACTGCTATCAGTGTACCGATCTATCTCTTTGAAGGTCTTCCTCTTTTTCTCTCACCTGCCACTTTACCAAGCATGATGTCCTTCTCCAGAGACTGGTCCAAAATACACATATGTTCACATGATAAGTGCATCTTAGTGATGTACTGAGTTACAGTATGATGAACCCATGATATAAAAGGTCAAAGAGAAAGTTTCTCTGCAAATCTTAAGGTTTATTAATATCATCTACTGGTAGCATAGTGGGTTACAAATCAGGCTGCTAACCTCAAGGTCAGCAGTTCTAAACTACCAGTGGTTTCGCAGGAGAAAGATGAGGCTTTCTGCTCCTGTAAAGATTACAGCCTCAGAAACCCTGTATAGGGTCGCTATGAGTAGGAACCGACTCCAAGGCACATAACCACCACTACCACCACCAATACAGTAGGTTGTGTATTTATATATACCTTCACACAAAGTATTTGGGACACTTTTTAATATTTGAATGTAGGTATGCATCTTTGATATCTGAACTGATATAAAAGTTGCTTAATCAAACTTGTGAAACCAGTGACTGTTAATATATTAAAACAGGACTGTTTTTTTTCTTAAGAATAGAACCCACAACACTAAAAAAGAAAAACAAGTATAAAATGTGTACTGGAATAACACATCATGAAAGTAAAGAAAAAGTGTTCAATAATAGCAGAGGTAATACTTCTTCTGTAAGGACTGTTGGTTTTGATTAGCACCTTTTCTGTACGTTTAAATCATTATCCATATATTTTAAGTACTGAAATTGCAACTGCAACTTCTGAGTGAAAGTTCATTTTCAGCCTCTTAAGCTCTTAAAATCATTTAAATCGCCTGTTATTAAACTTGTTACCTAGAAACCAAATGAAAAATACTGGAGCAGTGGCTACAGAGTTATTGGGTATAGAGGAGTTCTTGTTTTTCCATCAACTTCTCATTTTTCTCAAATTGCATATTTTCTCCTTATGTCATTTAACATTGGATCATGTGTAGTGTCGGAATGCATTCAGGCTTTAATTGCAAGTGCCAATAAAATTGCAAGGAAGACGTTTAATACTTTCTAAAGCAAAATTTATGGTATTTTGTGAGTAGAAATTATGATGAGAAGATATGATGAATATTGAGATTAATGAATTGTTTCATTTTATTACCCTTCAGGCTGGCCAGCTAACCTATGTGGATCCAGCTACTGGCTTTGTGGTGCTCACACAGCTCGCCCATTTGCAGAGAGGTGAATGCTGTGGCTCAGCCTGCAGACACGTGAGTAGCAATTTCTCGCATTACAGGAGCAGTTTGCGGTGCTTCTGTAACTTTGTAAATACCTATTATTTGAACAACAAGTCAAATAAAAAAGCTAAATAGACCTGGAGTGCACTTTTCACAAGCTCTGTTAGCCAAGGACAATGAAGTCCTTAGGGCCAACATAGGACCTTTAAAGTTAATGGAATTTTGTAACATTTCACTCTTAGCATCAGTTCCTGGAAATACTGTGATTTGAAATTCACGGGAGCTCTTTATTACCAGGAAACTTTTCATGAGGTTTCTCTAGACAAGCACAAAGAGGGCAGGAAAAGAAATCCAAAGTGTTGCAAGCACTTTCTTCATTATTAGCTCAGTAGAATTTGCCAAGCAATGAGAGATGGGTGTCCTTTGGATGATACTGATTTTCTTTCTTTCTTCTTTCTCTTCCTCTAGATTGTCTTTAAAATAACTGTGAAACTAGAATGCCCTTAAATACATGCTATACATTTCCTGTGTCTTTTTCAGTATACATATCTGTGTCTTTATTAATTAAGATGAATTAACTAATCCTTGCCTATTTTGAGCAATGACTCAATGGGAAAAGGTTTGTAACTATTACTTTCCAAATGCATTGCATGAAGTAAATTGTTACAGGGTTAAAACTGTATACAGATAACCACTTCTACTTAAAGGCTGACTGCTTAGATGATTTAAAAACATAAATTACCTTCTAGGTTCTGTGGGTGACGGTGACTACCTTTTTGTAAAGGGGTCTACGAAAAGGCTTTTCTTCATCACGTTTCTAAGGATCAATTATGAATAAATAAGTAAGGTCATGTTTTGGAAACAAGGAGGTCTCTTAACTGACCCACTTTATAGTTAAGAAGTAAACCCTAAATACATGTATCAACTGTAGGCAGTATTGAAAAATAAAAAACTTTCATTTCTATATATGTTCTTAAATGTGCCATTAGCTGTTTCTAATCAAATACATAAGAGCTTTGTGTAAAGTGAGAACTTGGGATTTTCTAAGGGTGGATTTTTTGACAATAAAATTCTTAAAGTTAGAAGTATGCATTTAGGAAGTGGTTTCTTAGACCCTAATGAGGACCATTTGCCTGGGGTTGCCATTATTCTCCTCTTAGTCTAAAGGACTCTATAGATCAAATGATCCTATAACCTTATTAGCATTCTCTTTCTTCCCCCCATGAGCAGTATTACACTTTTTTTCCAAGATGATTGTTTAATAATTCAATAATCATTTGTATTTATTTCTTCTGCAGTGCCCATATGGTCAAGTCAATGTTAAAGATCCATCTAAAAAGAAGCAATTCAATGCCTATTTTTATGTTTGACATGAATTTCATCTCTGTTCTCCATATTATTGAACCTGTATTTTAAAAACCACCCTAATCCAGAACTACTGTCTGTGCTGTCAGTACTTGAACACCACTTTCATCTTAAATGCATATATTAAAAGAACATCAATAAAATTTTAAAAAAGCTAGCAAGTGTTTGTGTGTTTCTAAAGTGGCACATTGATAGTTATTTCCCTTTCTTTTTGCTTCATTATCAGACACATATGTTGAAGAAAGAAAATAATGACTGTCCCATTAAATAAATAGTCACATTCAGGTCACATTCGTAGCTCTTGATTTTTCATATCGCCTCATTTCTCCTACTGTTTTCCCCCCAGTGTTATCAATCCAAGGGAGGTTGTTGGCAAATAGAAGAGTTTAAATACATTCTTCAATTTATTTATATCTCGAGCTCTATAGAAATTGATATAATGTTAGATTGTGCAGCATATGAGAACCCAAGCAGTGCCATTCTGCACCAAGAAATGTTCTAATTTCCCATCTGTTCTCTGAATAAAAACTTTAAATCATTCTGACTTGGGGGTCAGGCCGCTAAATATGCCTCATTTAGACCACTCTTCCTTCTCTCCCCCACTCTACCCTCCTCCATTTCTTTTGGTACTTCCTAGTCAAATCTATCTGCCAGCATCTTGTTAGTGTCACACTGACTCAGTTCACTGCAATGATGTCCCTGGCTTCCAGTCTCCAATCCAGGTTGAGACTTTGCCGGAATTGTTCTTCCCACACCCTCTTCTCTGCTTCCTTCTAAGGATGGCAGCTCCCAGGGTCTGCTGTTCTACCTAGTGAATGCATCCTTGCCAGTGGATGTTGTTCAGTGTAAGGAGGCTGCTGCTCACTTGGAAGGCTGCCTTTGCCCAGAGCTGACCCTCAGCCTTTCCCCCCAGTGGAATCTGAAAGGTTCTGAACCTCTCAGGGGTCTGCCTCAGGCTCTGCCTGTGGCCGGAATAAAGGCTTTAGAGATCTAAGCAATGGAAAGGTCCTATTGCCTGCTTTTAATTCAAAATAAAATTGAAGTCTTTAAAATAAAAGCCTATCTGAACAGAAAAAAGTGAAAACAAGCCAAGTAAGGTTCTAATTTTCTCCTTAACTGTAGCTTCTGTTTGTTTTAATGTCAAATAGTAAATTGTTTCAAAAATGGTTGGCATTTTTGGTGCCCCAGTTTTGCTAGTGCTCTAACTGTGGTGCCCTAAGCTAACTGCCCTTGGGCCTCCTTAGATGCAAAAGAGCAAACTCTTTGACCTGGTATTGTCCTACCCAGAAATTGTTGAGGAGTGGGGTTAGATCCTGCAGGTAATTAGCCATTCCAGAAAGGCTTATGGACTCCTGGGAGCCAGTTTCCTTTTCATCTTGAGGACAAGAATCAACCCGCCAGCTCCACGTTTTCCACTAGGTTTGAAGAATACTAAGGCTTTTTTTCTGGGTAGGGGCCAAATGGTCCTTTCATTAACTGCTCCAGGATGAGGGAGAGAGGGAAAGAGAAAAAGGACCCTTAAAAGGCCAAGGCCATCTTCTTGGAGAAAAAGGAAGCTCACTCCGAAAGACGGTACCCGATGTTAAGGGTTTTGAGAGTCCTTTCGCTGGAGGAAATGAGTCGCGGGCTGCTTCTTTCCTAAAGGTTGCTTTTTCCTCATCCAGACTCCTTTTGCAGTAGGAACTGGCCCAAGAAAAAAGAACTCCAGACGTCCATCACGGAAAACCCTTATTAGGGTCTGGGGTGGTAATTGTGATTCTTCCTGGCAAATCCTCAAGCCTTGCTGGCTACAGTCCTTGCGCAAAGGAGCCACTAGGGGCGGGGAGGGTGGGAAGGGCGGGAAGGGTTCTGTCCATACTCTTTGCTGCACCTGGCGCCCGCGGAAGCTGAAGTCTGAAGTTCTCCTCTGTGGTTCTGGAGAGATGCATGTGAACCATACATCGGGGTGGCTGCGGGACGGTCGCTCCCACATTAAACACAATATGGGCACATAAATGGGCCTCGCTGCAAGAGCTTTAAGCTATATTGTATTCACACATTGTAAAGTAAAAATTCGGGTTTCTTATTGGGTGTGTGTATACAAACATGTGGACACAGAGGAATAGAGATTTCCCAATTTAAATAAACTCTGGTGCTGCTTGATTTTCAAGGTTTCTGAGGATTCCTTCTGTCCCAAGGCGCAATAAATCCAAAAAAAAAAAGTTTCTAACACGGAACTGGGGACACTTGTGGGGGGGCGGGGGAGGGCTTTAGGGACAACAGAGTATGGGATCCTGTAGCTTTGGTTCTTTCCTTCACGTGGCAAGCGGATCATGATACACAATTTCTTCTCTTAAGAAGTCACACCCGCCCCCCGGATTATGCAGAGCACCAAGGGCATTTCTTTTTTTCTAGTAAAATATGGGGTTCTAAAACTGATTATGTTTGGGAACTGGAAAGAGGAGGCACTTAATGGGCTCAGCGTGAGTCTAGTTTCTCGGCAGCTCCCCTTCTCTGGCGTTGGCAAAGTCTGTTCTCACACCGGTCCACTGACAGAAGCCGGCGGAGGGAGTGGGGGGTGGAGAGGCTAGAATTTGTCTCCAGGTAAGGGGAAAGGAATGCTCATTGATAGACAAATGCAGTTGGCTTGTTGCCTCCCTACCACACAGCCCCTCCAGCCCAGAACTAACTTCCAATTCCACTCCTTCCCATACCTGCCATTTCATCTTCTCTGCTTTCTGGCAAGTGTTTAAATTTGTGGATTAGACATCTATCTATGGTACAGGATTTAAAACCTGGTCATTTTTTAAAACTACACTGAAACAATTAAAAGGTGTTTCTCTCCTCTCTCCCCCCACCCCATAAAAAGTTAATGGTCAGATATTAAAGTGTGTATGCATGTGTGATGGGGGGGGGGCAGTGTCAACACCTTTTTGTAAGCCTCTGTGGGAAGGCTGAATTTGGAGATGAGGATTTGGAAGAACCTGTCACCTTGGACTGTTTCCGGGATGCCAAACCTACCCTGAGGTGTGAGGAGCGCCCCCCTGACTTTAGGACGGCTCTTGGCTCAGTGTCAGGAGACCTCAGTGTCAGAAGACCTTTTTACTCACGTCCCACTGTCCTGAGGGCGCCAGTGTGTGCTTGCTTATGTGTGTAATGCATACTTTGTTTAAATCAAATACAAGATCGTTCGTGATTCAAAAGAGATTTTAAAAATCGCTACTTTGGACAAGAATGAGTGAGAGGACCCCAGCGTTGTCGAGCAGGTATTATGGTCCACCCATTCGCTGGTGTCACCCGGGAGCTTGTTATAAACTGAACCTGAACGTTTGTTCCCCTTCCCCGCTGCTAATAACACGGACCCAAAGCCGACGGACTCTCCATGCGACAAGGAGCAAAGGAGGCCAAGATGGAGGGGGAAGTACAAGGTTAAAAGGTTAACCGGTTGGCGAAGGCAAATTTTACCGGAGAAAGCAAGACTTTGCCCCAGGACTCTCTGAATCACTATACAGGATTTGGAGTGGAAAGTCTGTGGACTCCCATCTGCGGCTCAGAGTCGATTCCTGACCAATCCTTATGTTGTATGGCAGAGCTTGCTGGGAGGAGGGGGCCGCCGGGAGGTGCGTGGTGCCAGTAACACACTTGGTCACAAGGAGCCAAGACGATGGTGGGGAGGGCGGCACTATCTTTCGGACAGTCACACTGGCGCCATCTCACTGTTCACACACCCCTTCCAAGGGTGCTGGAGCCTCTCAGTGACCCCGCGCCCCCATTTCGGACCTGGGACCCAAGGACATACCGTGTGGGGGAGGGGCAAACCATTGGCCAGCGTCCCCTCCCCAGATCCCCTCCCTTTGCTACCAGTTCTCCCTTTGCTTCCCCTGGGCCTGACTGGACCCAGGGCGGCCCAGCCCCTGGAGAACCTGAGACCAGGTAACTGGCCTCTGGCTGAGACCCCAGAAACGTTTGTCTCTCAGAGTTTGAGGTTTTCTTTGGGAGGGTTAATTGCCACCTTCACCTCCACGATCCTTGCGGTGACCTGACCGCCTACGGAGCGCCCTTGAGCATAGAATGCTCCCCAAAGTGCTCGGTTCCTGACGACGAGCACAGGGGCGCTCAGAGTAAATACAAGACTGGGAGAGGAAGGCGGGGATGTGGAGGGTGAGCAATCAATGGCTTAGTCCAGCTCCCGGCAGGAGCTCCCGCCCTTTCACCGTCTATGCCTGCACCAGCTGGTGGCAGCATCTTTAGGTACAGACTCAAGGAAGGAAAAGGCAAGGCAGGCTGGGGTCCCAGGGCGCGCTGCGGGACTCTAGTCCCAGCGCGGCACTCGAGCCTCAAGATGCTCTGAGCTTTATGAGGTTCGCTTACAGCAGAGTCCTCCATTAACACCTCCACTGGTTATTGAGAGGCGGGAAGGGCGAACGCAGCTCAGAGCTGTCTCCTGGCAGAGGCCCACGCTCGCGTCCTCTGTCCACTCCTACTCCCTCCCTTGCCCCATTTGGAGGAAAAAAAAGAAAATAAAAGACAGGTGGAAAGAGCCCAGGGTCAGAGTTGAGGGATTCAGGTCAATTCTGACTGAGAAAAGAAGGGAGAAAGGGAGAGAGAGATTTATTTCCAGCCAACCGCTGTTTATCTCTTTGGATTAACAGGGGACCCGCGGTGAGACGAGCCTGCTTCTCTGGTTGCTGCCTCCGACCCTCCCTCATAGAGGAACGGTTTGTTGCAGGGGAACATCTGAACCTCAAGGTAAGATCCCTAGAGAGATTGCTTTTTAGGAGCAGTTTTCTGGCCTCGATGTCCACTAGGATGCCTAGGAGCCCACCCTAAGAATGCGGCGTCCCTACCTGAAGGCCTGGGGGGGGGGAGCGGGGCAGCTGTGCCCTCCCCCCCCTCGGGGCAGGAGGAGGCGCGGGTGTGTGAGGGGTGCGGCTCCCAGGCCGCACAGCCCGCCTGACTCGCTGCGTTTCTCTGCCAGCCTGTCCCCCACCCCCAAATACGGCACGACCCACTCCTTGTGCTCTAAGATGCTGAACGACACCACTCTCGAAGCAGGTGAGTTACATGCCAGGTTCCTTCTCGTTTTCTCTGCCCTTTTCCCCCGGCCCGTGTGTCTATGCTATGTGTGCGCGCGTGCGCGCCGACGCTCCTTCGTTGGGTGTGTTTGTGTGTTGGTTTTACAAATAATACCGCGCTCCACAGGCTCGAAAATAAACCGTCTCGGCTAGAGTATCCCGACAGGATTCCTGAAATGTGTATTTCCCTCCCTTTGCCTTTCTCCTTAATGTCTTTGACCTTCTTCAGGACCCGGGTCTCAGGGTGTGTGGCGGAGGTCACAGAATCCGTGAACCGCGAGTTACCGAGGGTGGCTCTAGGGACGACTTCCCAAATTCTTTCCGGAGCTGTTGTGGGGTGGGATGGGGTATCTTCTCTGTCTCCTCACTGGATTGGATAGAGTAGGGGAAAAAGACACCTTTTCTTACCCATGTGGGGGGCTTCCCTTAGATGGTTTTTTGTTCCTTGCAAAACCCGCGCGGCCGTTTCTGTGCGTGATCTCGGCGGCCGCAGTGCGGGGACGGTCTCTTTATTCTTGGGGCGGCTGGGCGCGGAAGGCGCGGCACCTCACAGGTAAAGGGCTTCGGTGATCCCAAGCGCCTTGTCCTATACCCGTGGCCGCTTTCTTGGAAGCTCTGGGGCCCAAAAGATTGGAACCTGAAAGGAGCAAGCAGCAGGCCAGAGGCTCCCAGACGGAGAGTGCCTGGGTGTCCAGCGCACCAAAGGACAGAGCCCCCGCTCTGGACCCGAGCGCGGGGAGCAGAGGGCACTGTGAGCGGTTAGGGCGCGGCCGCGGACCACTCTCCCGACGCCCCAGCTCCCAGCTCCTCTGGTCCACACCTCACTGGCCAAACAGGAGGGCTTCGCTGGCAGGACTGAAACTGGAGTGCGCCTTGCCGCCCAGCCAATTTCGGGAGAAGTTTGCCCAAAGAAAATTTCACTATCCACTGCCAAGAGAAAAACCCCGGTGCCTCTGGGCTATCCGCTCACCTCGCACCTAACGCCAGACGGGCTGGTGGGGGTGGGGGTGGGTGCGGCAGGGGGAGGGGATGTGCCGAGCTCGTGACTTCTAGCCTCAGGATGCTGCTGACTCCTCTGGAGTCTGTAACAAAAACTGACCGCTGGTCAAAAAACTCTTAGAATCAGACGGCTCTTCAGCCAGCTTGTTAGGGTTTGGAGGAAAAGCGACATCTACCTCTTTAAGGGTAAATTCCGGGTCATGGTCTCCAAAATTCGGGTCTAAAGAGACATTGAAGCACCTGTGCTCTCTTGCTTGCCTTCTTGCAGGCAGACTGGTTTTTACACCCTCTCTCAACCCTCAACCCTAAAGCCTTTACCCTCGGGCAAGGCTAGGCATCCTCTTACTTTCCCCCTCTCTTCCCTTCTAGGGATTTCCTTGGGCTTGGATCCTTTGGCCAGTGGGCCTGCCAGAGTCCAGGTGAACTTGATGTGTCCTTGGTGGCTCTTTCAAGACCCTAAACCCTCAGTTTCAACTCCTTTGCTTCACAGAGCCTACTCACTCACTTTCCTGAAAGTGGCAATAGCTGAATAAGAGTTGGCAAGCAAAGAAGAAAGGGGGGTTTAATAGATTTTGTGTATCCAATTGTGAAAGAAGGCAGTGCCTGGCCATGGATCTGCCCCCTATATCTCCTAATAGAATCTTTGAGTTCAGAGAGGAGACTCAAGACCCTCCTCTTGCACCTGCCCTTGTAGAATGAAGCCTCTGCTCAGCTCCAGGAACTGAAAAAGTAAGCATTCCAACTTTTATAGGACACTTGAGGCTTTCAGTCGGAGCTGGGAGAGGGAGGAGTGCTTCTCCTCCACAGGCTTTTAGCAAGGCCCCTTTAGAAAAGAGGTTAAAGAAGACAGGGCTACAAAGATACCTCCCAATTTAAATGTCTTTTGAGAGCAAAGGACAGAGTAGCACCTCTAAAGCATTCTCTTAGGGATTCAAGAGGAAAATGTTAGGGCACCCCAGGACACACATCTGATTCTTGGGGGCAGTTCCCCTTTCCTCTTTAGGGTCTTTGAGAGGAGGCAAGCTAGATTGGTGGTGAGTGATTTCTGAAGGTCTAACTGTGGTTGTAAAGTGCTGTGGAGTCAGTTCTGACTCATAGTGACCCTGCATAGGGTTTCAGGCTGGTGAGTTTGAACCACCGACCCTGTGGTTCAAACAGACCTTGCAGTCCCTTGTATTATCCTGCAGCGCCACACAAGGACTAACTTTGTTGTTGTTAAGTGCCTGCCATCTCACAGACTAACTAGAACCTCCCAAATTCCAGTAGCTCCCTCCACTTTCAGCTTTCTACAGACTTCCTGCATTCACTGAGAATGAAGAATCTTGACTATTGAGGACTTCTTATGAGAAGTAACAGATTCCACTGGGTGCAGGAACTTGTAACTGGCGTTTCATAAGGAAGAGCAAGCTAGCAGTGATTAGCAGATATGAGTTGAACAGATGAATGAATAAATGATCGAAGGGTTTACAGAACTCCTATGTTTGGCTACCCTGGAGTTGCCTCACCAAGTTCTGGCTTCTTCATGGAATTGTTGGTTAAACTTTTCTTCATGAAGAGTCTCCAGAGTTTCATCTCTTGGGGATCTGCTCTGGGCTTCTTTACTGTTGTTTTTGCTGAACTGGATAAAAACCCAATAGCTGAATCCAATTCTGAATATCCCATTTGGGAAAGAGGATTCAGCACAGAAACGAAATGATTCAGGATCTTCTCTTCACTTTTTCTTTGGAACTTCTTTGGGTTAATAGAAATATTCTTCTCTTTCTCCTCTTCCCCAACTCTGAGTCCTCTTAAAGTTGACTTGAGTGAAGACAGTTTGCCCCTTTGTGAGAGGACCTGCAGTCTCTGAAAGGCCCCCAGCTCTTCCTCAGGGGCCCTTCCGTGTGTATGCCTTGCTGGGTTTGAAAAGCTCATTGATTTCCATCCAAAAGGGCTAATTACATTACTTACAGTAAATAGCAACCCTGCTGTCCAGTAGGACTGCCAAAGTCTGGAGAGGGTGGGGAAGGTCTCCAACTTAGTTCACTTGATTGGCTTCATTTTGTGTGAAATCGTGTTTTATGATCTGTATTCTGGCACCCAGAGGACCTAACAGCCAACAGTCTGCAAATAGCATTATTTTTGACCCTGAGAAGAAAGCTTAGGGAAGCTTTGGAATCTTGGGTTTCATGGAGAAGGCGACTCCAAAGTCTCTGGGGCTGCTGCTTTGGGACAGGAAGTAAAGCTGCTCTCTCAAGGATGGCTTCCTTTCTCATTCCCTTCTTCCTTCCTTCCTCCCCACTCTCTTGTCCCTCTTTCCTTGTCCTTTCTCTCCCATTCTCCTTTTTTCCTTTCAACCTTCCTTCTTCCATCTTTTCCTCCCGCCTTCCCTCTCTTACTTCTTCCTTCCCTGGATCCAACTGGATTTGGCCACTGTTACTTGTTGGGCTCCCCCGGGCGGAGGAAGGCGGGTCTGCTGCCGGGCGGGCCCCAGAGGTATCCAGGATGTGTGTCAGAATACTGGGAAGCTGGCGGGGAGTGGTGGGAAACAGAAGAAGGCGAAAGGAACTAAAGGAGTAGAGCGTGGCCGCGGGCTTCCACCTCTTCCAGATGAAAGCTGGGTTGATTCCTGCCACTGCTCCCCGTTTCGGAGCCCCCTAGAGGGCCTCTGGCCTTTTGAATGAATCGACAATATAAGAGTATTGTGGATAGTTTTTAATGGGGCTGGGAAGGGGCCGCTGCTAACGGGAACAGAGGGCGATAGAACAATTCCGTCTCTTGTGAGGTGCAAGTTTGCCTTTCTGCTCGTCAGCTCTCACCTTCCCTTCCTCCACAGCGAGGAGACCCTTTCACACCCTCCTAAGTGTGGGGGCGCCCCTGCCAGGGCAGTGGGAATGTCGCACGCGCTAAGTCCCTCAGGGACGCGAATCGAACTCTCCGGACTCCCGGAGCCGCTGCCCATGTTGACAAGTTTCAAACCGGACTCTAGAATCGCCTTCAAATCTGAATTGGGTAAGAGAGTAAATCATCCTCTGGCCACTGTTTGGTTACAGACTCGTGCCCTACAGTCTGTCCCTAAAACTTGACTTTGTCAAAGAAAATATACACACACACCCCAACATTGAGAAACACAGGCACTTCAAGTGCACTTTTCAGTTTTGGCGACTGTCTAGCGCATACTCTTCAGGAGGTGAGGCAAAGAAATTAACTGGCTGACCGCAGCTCTTAAGTGATGCGAAGGAGAGGAACCAGCATTGTCTTGACATCAGTGATGCTCTTGCGTTTCTGTCCAATATTGACTTATTTGGGGTGTCAGTCAGAGACAACCAGGATCAGAAAGTGATACAAAGTTGAACCCAGAATTCTGTGTGCCTTAAACCCTAATCAGGTCTTAAACTAGGATTGTGGAGTCAGACTGTCTTACTCCTGTGCCTTGGCAGGGACAATAAGGACTTCTTTTCCCCTTTAAAATGTGACCACTGGGAACTCTTGGAAGGATGTGTGTGTGTTCGTGAGTGTGTATGTGTGTGTTGAGGGGAGGTAAAGACCCCCCTTTTCTCTTCTCCAGTCTCAACACCCCCCCCCTTTGTAATGTTTGTCCCCGCTTGCCCATCACCAGGGGGTTGAGAGGACTATGACAGGTCTTTGTTGTCTGAATAAAATCCGTGGCAGCTCCAGGGAGAGAACTCCTCCTACTAAATTATCAAAAATGGGCTGGCTTTAGTCTCTTAACAAATTGGACACAGCTACAGCAGGAGCAGTCCCCAACCCAACCTACAGGCACTGGGAACTTGCAAGCAGCCAGGGACCGCTGAAAATAGCACTTCTTTTTGTTTCTTTGTGTTCAAAATTATTTTCTTCCTTCACCAGATTTTGTTTTTCTCCCCCCGCTGCAGTTGTTTCTTATTAGTAACCCGATCTCTCAGAGCAGTAAGATTCGCCTTCTTCGCCTTCTTTCCCCTCCGCCTGTGTTTGTTTGTTTTCTGCACATCTCCTTCAGGGAGCCGCTGGGCTTTTTTTTTTTTTTTTTTGCGAGCGACCCAATTTCCACTCCATCTTCTTCTTTCTTCTTTCTTCTCTCTCCTCTCTTCCTCTTGTTCTCTGTCCCCGAGAGTCTCCGAGCTCCTCCAGGGAGCAGCCCTCTGCAGTCCCCTTCTGTTCCTTCACTCGGATGAGCTGAGAACCCCGGGCGTGTGTATATGGAAATAGTAGGGTGCCGAGCAGAAGACAAGTCGTGCCCTTTCCGCCCCCCAGCCATGCTCTTTCACGGGATCTCCGGAGGCCACATCCAAGGCATTATGGAAGAGATGGAGCGCAGATCCAAGACAGAGGCCCGCCTGACCAAAGGAGCCCAGCTCAACGGACGCGACGCGGTAAGGAAGTGTCCCGCAGTCTCTGCAGCCCGGAGCGTCGCGGCGCCTGCGCGCGCTCAGTGAAGACAAGCCTCGAGTCTCTTGTCAGCTGGGGTTAGGGATGGTGGTCATAAGACACCCACTCTAAGCTGGGTGGTGGGTTTTATCCAGGTCTCCTAGCTCTGAGGAGCCAAGAAACGACCCCCTTTGGGACTTGAAATGTCAAGAACTTGCTATCTTCTGCCATAGTGTTTTCCTGAGCGAACAGGGCCAGTTGGAGTTGGAGGAGTGGGGCGTCCTCTTTTACACATCCCAAACTTCCCCCTTTGCTCCAGAGCGCCTTCCCGGCGAGGATCAGAGGATCTGAGGGCGAGTTGGATGCAGGCAAGGGTGGACGGTGCGTAGCTGAGGCTCAGGGTCCTGCTGGCGTTCCTCCGCCCTCTCTGGGTTTGACCACCCCGTTGGGGGTGGGCTGAGGCACGGCATAGCCACCTTCCATTTCCCTTACTCTTGGTGCTCAGCACCCTTAAACACAATCCTAGTTCTTGTGAAATGGGAGTGCGTTGAGCTCCGGGGTCCAGCGGGTGTGTTTGTAGGAGGAAAATCAAATAAAAAAATCATTCGGAGGAGCGCACACCCAGCCCAAGCTCAAAAACTTTTTTCAAGCTTTTCAGTGTTTCAACAATAAAAGCTATGTCCGCTCAAGAAAAAAAAACCAATTAGTAATATATGTGTTTTTCTTCCCAGTTATGAGCCAGAGGGGGTGGTGGTGGAATTACGAAAGTCTCCGGAAAATAATTCCAGCCCAACAGAGCAGTGTAGATTCTCTGGTGTCACACCGGGAACTGTAGGATAGCTCTAGCCTTTAGCCAGGGGATCCGGGGGTTTGGTGGTCCCACCAGTTTGCTGAGTTGGGAGATGTGTCTACATTTACAATGCTAACTCAGTGCTTGGCCCACGGAGTAAAGGAGGAAACTTACCTTTACTTTTTCAGGCCCGCCAAAGTTTCATGGGGACAGTCAGCTCGGTTTTTGTGTTTTGAGGAGAAATCTCCATTATCTTTTTCTCTTACGTGGTTATCCCATTTAAAAACAAAAAGCAGCAACCGAAGTCTGTAATTTCCTGGCTGGGCTTGGTCACAATGAGGTTTTCCCATCTTGGGCTGTGCGGGTGGTACTAGGCAAGAAGCTTGACTTGGGCACTAAACAGATATCCAGGAGAAAAATGTCGTGGGTATTTTGATGCCGTGGTACAACTGAGCCTTCCTGGGAACAATCATTTCACAACATTTCTGGGAAAAGAACCAATATTCTTGAAAATTAGGGAGCATAAAGGTCTGTAAATATATCCCCACCAAAACAGTGTCAAGTAAATTATGATTAATTTTACGTAATTAATTTCATTCTTGTCTGTAAGAATTTATACAAACAGAATTGTAATATTATTTGTGTTTAAAAACAATCTTTGCTTGTGTAAATCTCCTTTACCTCCCTCAAAAACAATTCCTATTGTTTCCTTTTGTGTCCGTTGTAAGCCACAGTTTTTAGGTTGTAATGATTCGAGTTCCAGAACCATCACCTAAATATAGTTAATATGCTCCCAACACATTATAATCGAGGTTCGGGACTGCCGGACGATCTTTAGGTTAACTGTCTGGGGTGGACGCGAACGCGGGGTCAGACTGACAAGGTAGAGAGGGAGTGAGCCACTAACGGAAAACGTGCCCCTACGTTTGCTGTGTGCGGTGGGTCCTGGGCTTAAGCTATCAGGGGACCCCGCATTGTGCTGTGCGGTGCAGCGCGCTCCACAGCCGCGTTTGTGATTGCCTTGCAGGGGATGCCCCCGCTGAGCCCGGAGAAACCCGCTCTGTGTGCTGGCTGCGGGGGCAAGATCTCAGACAGGTACTACCTGCTGGCAGTGGACAAGCAGTGGCACCTGAGGTGCCTGAAGTGCTGTGAATGTAAACTGGCCCTCGAGTCCGAGCTCACTTGCTTCGCCAAGGACGGCAGCATTTACTGCAAGGAGGATTATTACAGGTACTCCCGCTCCTATCTCTCTTGTGCGGACACATCTGGCGTGGTTACCTGTCCGAGCCCAGGTCCCCCTCGTCCATTTTTGGTCTGTTTGTGGCGCTGACGTCAGTCCGGAACCCAAGAAAGTCTACTCGGACCTCAGCGTACGCCAAAGTGCGACCCTCTGGACTAATACTGAGGCTTAGTGGGAGGGACACCCGAGATCTAGGGCATTCTCAGGGGATACCGCACGCGCGGGCTCTTCGCAGTTCGTTGGTGGGAGTACCTAGGAAAATCTGCGTGTCTCTGTGGTCTGAATCTTGAGAGGTTTATTTCCGCTTACTACGAACTGAACAAGGTGTGAACCTCGAACTGGTGGCCCCGGCGAAGCCACTGGGTTTTTGTTGTTGTTTTGTTTTGTTTTTGCTTGGTGGGAGACCTTGAAAGTGACCACGATCAAGAATAAATACCGTTGACAAAATTCAAGCCACTCAGTTCTGAGCTCTTTTTATCCGTTAGCTAGAACCATGCCCGCTAGACTAGAGAGAAAACTCAGCGGCGGGCATACCTGCTGATCCTTCCCATTTGTGTGTCTGGATTGGAAAAGACAGAATTAGGTGCAGGTGAGTGCTACCTCGGCTGTCAGCTGTAGTCAGGGAGGTGGATAACAAAAAAATCTTTAATTTACAAAATTGTCCTTTTTTGGGAAGTGTCCATCTGAATTAATACTTTCAGACACACACACACAACCAGGATAATAATACTGTCCTTCTTTCATTAAATGTTTTGTAACCGATGAAGCGTTTTTTACTTGGCAGAACAATTTACTATAGATCCTTTAAATTGCGCTGTGAGTTAGCTAGTGCAGAGTTTTGGGTTTTGATTTTTAGATCTCCATGTTACTGAGAAGGAAACTGAAGCTCAATGCCAAGGTTCTTTGTCCTGGTTCCTCAGAACAAGTTAATACGCAAATAAAATTAATGTCATACTGGTCCAGTCTACTGTCCTCCGAGGGAGTCTGGATCTCGGTTTGTCCACTGCAGACCAAACCCCAGGCGCTGTGCCTTAACCAGCGCCCTGACTCTTAGCTGTTTCCTTCCAGAAGGTTCTCTGTGCAGAGATGTGCCCGCTGCCACCTTGGCATCTCCGCCTCCGAGATGGTTATGCGTGCCCGAGACTCTGTGTACCATCTAAGCTGCTTCACCTGCTCCACCTGCAACAAGACTCTGACCACGGGCGACCATTTCGGCATGAAAGACAGCCTGGTGTACTGCCGCGCCCACTTCGAGACCCTCTTGCAAGGGGAGTATCCCCCACAGCTGAGCTACACTGAGCTGGCAGCCAAGAGCGGAGGCTTGGCCTTGCCTTACTTCAACGGCACAGGCACGGTGCAGAAAGGACGGCCCCGGAAGCGGAAAAGCCCAGCGCTGGGAGTGGACATAGTCAATTACAACTCAGGTGGGTCCCCCCCACCCCTGGCCTTCAGTCATTTCCCCCATCCAAGATCTGGCTGCCAGAGGATGCTCTACCCAACATTCCCTTTTTCTCTGTACAGCTTCCTCTCACACAGAAGAAAGGGAAGGAGGGAGCTAAAGAGGGAGACAGGGGAGAAAGGAGAGAGAGAGAATGTGACCTTTATTTTGTTGTTATTTAGGTTTATTTAGGTTGTGTGTGTGTGTGTGTGTGGTGGGGGGGTGGAATGAAAAACGCAAAACCAAACAAACCAAAAACAAAACCCCAAACCAAAAACACAACAAAGAAAACATCCACAGCCATGGGGCTGCCGTGACTTTCCCCAAAACATGCAGAGCCAAATCCTAGCTGCCCATTAGTTAATGAGCCCATTAGTTTCTGGCTCCCAGTTGGAGCAAATCAGCCCCAGGGCAATTCCTTTGTGGATGCCAAATTATGGATCCTGAAGGAGGTTTTCCCAAATACTAGGGGAGTGGGGGAAACTCTTCAGAGCCCAAACTCAGTCTTTCTAGAGGTAGTAGAGGCTGTGGTGAGCAGCCCAGTTAATCAGAAACACAGTTGGTATGAGTGTTGAAAACCCGACTTTCCTGACCCTGGCGACTGCAGCTTTAAGGGTGGAGATCCCTCCACACTGAGGTGGTTTGTGCCTTCCAGAGGTCAGGTTCCTCATCTAGATGATTCTTCTCTGAGAGACCTTCCAGATTCCCAGGCAAACTGGAACTACCTCCAGGTCAGACATGGTCTTGGCTCAGGCTTAGTCTGTCTTCTACCAGCTTTCCCTCTTAATTAAAACTAAAATACAGGCAACAGGCCAGAAAGCACACTTTCTGGCTGGCACTGGGGATGCACCGCTGTTTATCAATCTTGCTTACTCAAGCATCAGTTGTAGGAAGCCTGAGACTCCACTCACCAGGCTGGTGTTTCTTGTTCTAAAGGTTTGGTAAAAGTCAGAATGATAGCAGACCCCGCTCACATAATCTAACTCTGAGCAGGATCCAGACTCTTCTTGTGAGTCTCAGTCACTGGGAAGAAGTTCTAGAAAACCCTGGTTAACTTTTGGGGGACAGGGCTGTCCTAGCTGCTCTTCAAACACCAGCAAGTAGGAGACAGATTGAAAAAGACTACAGAATGAAGTTTGGGAACCTCATCTGGCAGGTTTACTGTGATACCATGAGTTCCCCAGGTGCCTAGCCAAAGTGAGTGCGTCCTAGAGCACAGGTGGGATGATTCTGTGTTTCTCTTCCACTCCCTGGCGCCTGGAATGATCCTGACATTCAGCTGGTGCTCAGCCAGATAAATGACTTGCTCAAGGTCACATAACCAGTGTAGACAAGTCAGAACGTAGAGTTCTGCTTTGAGAGTTTTCAGAAGTCATCAGGGTCAATGATTGCTCCCCGACCCTACCCTCTGTTCCCTCCAGATCTAGCTGAAGAGCAGATTCACAGCACTGAACAGGTACAGCAGGCAGCATCTCAGAAAGAGTAGTGAGTGCCCCCTTTGTGCCCCTCCCCCCAAACCCAGAGCAGCTGCAGTTGTCCCTAGAGGGTCACTAGATGATAGAAAAAGAGCCAGACAAATCGCTACAGACCCCATCAGGATCAGGTTGCACGAGGACAGTGGACAGCGGGTGCAGCCCCAGGTTTTGCCAACCTCCAGCCAAGGGCCACACCCTCAACCTCATTGCCACAGAGCTCAGTTGGGGTCTTTGGTTAGGCCCCTGCTTTGCCCAGCACTCATCTCTTTTGATGCCACAGGGCACTACTTGTTCTATACTAATAGAAGATGACATGGGAATTTTGAGTCACTCTCCAGGGTCCTAGTTAGAGAGAGAGACAAAATGGGGGTGGGGTGGAAAGAAGAGAGAATGGGAGAGAAACAATGAGAGAGAAACAGAGAACCAGCAAACTCTTTGAAAAAAGGGAAAGTCCCGGAAGAATGAAGACTTTTAGTCAAACTGTGACAAGCCTGGCTTTGGACTTATTCTTTTCATCTAATTAGTGGTATTTGATTTCTCCTTGGATCCTATTTTATAGTAGAAAGTCCTGGGGGGGTGGTGTAATAAAAGACAGTAGAGTTCAACTTTTCCTACTTATCTGAACAAAACTGGAGACTCAACACTTCTATCTTAAAAAGAATTAAAATCTCTTTGTTTGCAAATTAGTGCCACTACAAGGCTATAAAGAAAGTGGATCCATTCTTGTTTATGATGGAGAGAAAAGTTGCCTAGGTCACTGTCTTAGCTGGAATGAGATGAGTATCCATATATTACACTACTACAGACCTACAGACAGTGGTGCCTTTTAATTGGCACCCATTCCAACCTTTCTAAATGTTCTCCAGAGGCACTTGTAAATAGCATCGATCTCTTTAAAGTTAGTTGAAAATAATCTAGACCCTTACCAGAAATCAACCTACTATTTAAAAAGTGCTTACAAACCTACTGCCAGTTTGTTACAAGAACAAAAGAAAACTTTCATTAAATTAAAAGCGTGTTAAAAGGTAGAAAATAAAATGGACCTAGTCCTAGCTCATTATTTCAGGCTTCCTTGGATCTTGCATTGCCACTTCTGCTTAAATGTAAGCTTCTCTCAGAAAATATAACATTGATATTAATAAAACATGTAATTTATGCATTAATATATTTTCAAAAACATACATAAAACACATTTATAATCCAAAGATTGTTAGAGATGTGAAACGTGGCAAAGATCAGCAAGTGCCTCATAATGGGACTATTCCTAAGGTAGTTTATACTTCTTTGTGCCATTAATCAGACAGATGTTTTAGGAAAGAGACATGGAAAGTTTATCTGGAACCCTGGATTGAAATAAAGTCCTAAGGGGGTGGAAAGGAATTTTATTTTTAGGATAGGCAGTTTTTACTTGGGTAATTTAGCATTAATTTAGAGACTAAAATTTTACCACTTTTCAAAATCTCTCTTCTTTAGGTTCTTTCTATCGATCCAAGTTTTTAAAAGTCCTCACAGCTATTAAATAAGCCAGCTGGTACTGACCCCTAGTGGTGTTCCAGGGATCAGTTAGCTCACAGAAGGTCATGCACCTTCAAAATAGAAAACCACTTCAGGTTAGGTGACTACTTTATAAGTGATTAGAAAATAGAGTATTTTCTCATTAGATCTTCTCATTAACTTAATAAGTCTGGGTATGTACATACAGGTGGATGTTTACTACAAACCAGGAAAAAGAAACCTATAACCGGTTACAAAAGTAGACTCTAGGGAAACACAATCACCTGCAAGTTTACATAATGTACTTGTATTTCAACATAAATAATTTAGGATAATGCACTAGTAACTGTGTGGAAGAAATGGATTGCTCTATTAAATTGCATACTGTAAGTGATAACACAGTCAAAGGAAAATCATACACCATAATATCTGTTTAACAAGGAGATAACTTCACCTCTTTATACAATGAATTATAATCTGTGTACAAATAGGCCCTAAAATTTGGCTTAATGGAATAATATGCTCTGCTGAGTTTCTAATCAGCAATAATGGATATAGAATGTATACAAAAGAAAGCAATTTTATTAAACCTTACTATAATTACCTTTCTGAAACTTCATTTTAGCAACTAGTGATTATATACTCAGATTAGGATTCATATTGATTTCTTAGAAACATTAGCTTGTGGGGAAACGGTTCAGAGCATTATTTAAACACCAACTTAAAATTTCTATCCCAAGTGTAATATTCAATTTAATGTGTAGTTCTGGAAAAGTTACATGTTACTCACATATGATAGGAATGAAATCTTACTTGAAGAAGCTTCTAGTGACTGAGGTGAGCCTCTTTGATCATTTCATTGTTTGGCTGTGAAACATGACCTAGTTTTCTGGAGATAAGTATAGTTTTATAGTAGGTCCTAAGATGTTGTTTTATCCATTTGAGGATAAGAAAGTACAATTCTGTAGAGGAGTTGAACTTGATATATGCTCATTGGGCTGAAATTGGAAAAAAATGTAAAATACATACTCTCTGTATCTTTGGGTCTATGCTATCCTTTCTGATGGAGCATACGTCTGAGTTCAGCATTTGAATGTATATACCTGACTTGGATTCTACTTCACATTGATTTGACTTTGCATTAATATACACTTGTAATTTTATTGATGAACAAAGGACTCTGAAATCATGACTGAGTGACTGTTGAGTTCCTGGTTTTACTAGACTCTGAGGATCCCAAAATAAATATGGCATAATCTTTCCCCCAAGGAAATCACTCACCTACCCTTTTGCCAAATACGCCCTCCTACTTACGTATCTTATAGAAATATAAACCATGCATGTCTACTCATGCTGTATTAGGGAGAATTTCTTTTTAAATGGGTTTTGTAAAGCAGCTGACTTCTTGGTTGGTGACTAAAATTTCTGTGCTTCTCTCTATCTGTTGACTTACTGGAAACATTAAAAAAAAATCATTATAAGCAGAGTAAAACAAGAAGATAACCTTTTAGTAAGGAGACTCAAAAGAGCTCATGTTAATAGATGCATACTTTCTCCAAGATTCAGATTTCTTTTCTCCCTGGATGACAAGATCAGTTTGGTTTTAGGTATTCTATTATACAGTAAAATGCAAGATGATCAAACCTAATTAAATATGAGGAAAATATTTGAAATAAGAATTAAAAAAAAAAAAAAGCCATGCCCTTTAAGTTGTGAAATTGACTGAATCAGTAAATATTCAGCTAAATGTTTTTCATTTCACAAATCGTATTTTCTATGCAGAGCCAGTAGTTTATTGAAAGTGACCTTTTAAATGCACAACTTTGTATCCTGGGGATAACAACTTTCAGGCTGGTTTCAAAGGCTGGGCTGTAATCCCCCCAGTGCTAAGTGAGAAGACACTGGCCCTCTCTGCCAGGGTCCTCAGCTCTCAGTCAAGGCCAAGCTTGCATTCCAGAGCAAAAAGGGCCAAGATCTAAGCCTAGAAACAAGCACTTTCAGTGGCTGAGGGAGTGCTTCAGGCATGAAGAGAGTGAAGAGAAGTTTGGACTCATTATCTTTCAGAAATATTTATAAAAATAACTCCTAGGGAAACACATTTTCTTCCTGGTCTACCCTATTTTAACTGTTGTTGTTAAGTGTCATCGATTTGGTTTCGACTCATAATGACCCTTATAGGGTTTCGAAGCTAGAAATCTTTGAAGGAAAAGAAAGCCTCATCTTTTTCTAGAGGAGCAGCTGGTGGGTTCAAACCAAAATGTGGTTTGCAGTCCAGGGTTTATCCTACAGAGCCACCTGGCTAAACATTCTTGAAAATAATATTCTTGTATTACATAAGGAGTCCTGGTGTGGCTCGGTAGGATAAGCACTAGACTACTAACCACAAGGTCAGTGGTTCAAACCCACTATTTACTCCTTGGAAACCCTATACAAGGTCGCTATGAGTCAGAACTGACTTGATGGCTTTTTACAACATTACATAAGAAGTCTGAAAATTTGTATTTAACTTTACTAAAAACTAGAAATATGTTCTTGGTTGCAAATTTCTTTTTCTAAATATGATGAAATCTTCCCCCTCCTCCTTCTCTTTAACTTTGTCCTTATTGAGAATGCTCTAGGAATTTAGAAAAGACTGAACATTACAATTGGCCTTAATTCTTCCTTATTTGGAAGACTTGTTTGCCATCTCTCTAATGACAAAAAGCAATGCCTTCAGATAATATGTCTCATTCCACAAATATGGACAGAATAAGGAATCTCCAGAAACTGTGCATAGGGTTGAGCTGGGGTGGAGTGCTATTATTAAATACATTTCTTAGAAAATGATGTTCTCTTCGATTTGTTTCACTCCCAATTTACTGTGGTTATTTGTCAGTTAAGTTGATCCCAACTCATGCCAACCCTAGGTGTGTCATAGTAGAACGCTGCTTCATAGAGTTCTCAAGTCCGTAACCGGAAGCAGATGACTAAGATGCCTCTGGATGGGTTTGAACTGTCAGTCTTTGGACTATAAGTCTAGGGATTCCTTTTTGCTCTACTTGTATGTTTTGAAACTGATTCCAACTTATAGTGACTCAATAGGTCAGGGTAGGACTGCCTGGAATTTTTATAGGAGCAGGCCGTTGGGTTCTTTCTCCCATGCAGTAACTGATGGGTTCCAAGCGCCTGCTCACCTTTCTGCTGGCAGCCAAGTGCTTAAACACTGCACCAGGGACTCCTTTCCCACTCACTTACTTAGGGCTTATTTATCTTCCCAAGTTTCCCTAGCAACTATTAAGCAAAAGAGATAAATTACCTATTATTTTTCTATTATACAAGCTTTATGGTTATGTCTATAAACAGGCTAGTTTGGCTGCTTTGACAATTAGCCTCCTTGTTTTTATTGAGATATACTGCGCATAATGGAATCGTCAGCTTTTTTCACAGTTGCTTTATTATCCTTGCCTTATATCATCTCAGCTCATGAAGGAGTTTCTCCTGAGCAGTTGTTTGTTCACTGTTCCCACAACAGGTTGTAACGAAAATGAGGCGGACCACTTGGACCGGGACCAACAGCCTTATCCACCCTCTCAGAAGACTAAGCGAATGCGGACCTCCTTCAAGCACCACCAGCTCCGGACCATGAAATCCTACTTTGCCATCAATCACAACCCGGATGCCAAGGACCTCAAGCAGCTTGCCCAGAAAACAGGCCTGACCAAAAGAGTTTTGCAGGTAAGAAACCTCCATCATTGGTTATGCATACATCGCCCTTTCCCTTGCCAGTAAAAATAGTTTTCTTCCCTGTTTAGAGCGATACGGATATTTCCTATACCCCTACTTGAGCGTGTATCTTAGTTTTCTCCACAGAGGGTGTTTTGAGATGCTGTGGGGGCTTACCAGAGGGTGCCCAACGAGAGAACTAGGGACTTCTGAAATGCAGTTTATTCTTTCTCCAGATGGGCTCTGCATATACAGTGAGGTTATCGCTACAAGTTGTGGCTCTAGAAATTTACATTCACATTAGGCTCAGTGCAGAGACTTTAGGGGGCCTGTTGTTGCTGACACTTCAGCAAACTCTGGGCAGACTCACTCACTTGTTATAACCTTCCAAATTCAGGCTGACCCTTTTTTCAATTCTGGAAAGCCAGAAGCATAGCAAGTGTATCAGCAATCCATTAGAGCCAAGTATTTTCCCATTGTAAGTGACAATTCACAACAAACTACATTTAAAAACTAGGAGTTAGTTCTCTGTTCTATTGCTTCCTTAAACTCATCATGGTATCTTTATAAGAAGATGCAATGAACGAAACTAAAGGAGGTTGCTGCAGGTCCCTTGTGATCCTCTCTCACTTTTCGGGGTCACATAAAAAACATTTTAAGTCTGCTTACCAGTTTAGGGCTGCCTGGGGTCTGTGGCCTCAGAAGAGTTTTTCTTACTCAGAGTATTTACTGTATATCAAATTCATGAACAGCCCAAAGTCTGTTGCAGTGATGTTTATTTCAGATGAGTGCTTTTTACTTTGGGATGATTTCATTGACTCTGTTTCTCTCCATTCTCAAAATACAACAACTGAGAAAGCAGGGTTTATTTTCCCCCTTTTATCTCTGTGCCTTCCTTTCCATGGTATTTGCACATAAATGAGCTCTTGTCAATGCTGGGGGGTGGAATATGTGCAGTTGAGAGAATAAATCTGTAGTATTACTTGAATGAATTTGTTTTTAGAAAGCAAAAAAATCAACCACAAAAAAAAGAGGCCCTTGTCTCTCAAGAAAGATAAACAATTATATCTAAAAAGAGAAACATATATATATATATACACAAAAAAATATATATACATAAAAAGAAAGGAAGAAAAAGAAAAGAGAGAGAAAGAAATATAAAAATAAACATCGGTAAAGAAATCAATTGGGATTGGTTTGCAGGTTTGGTTCCAAAACGCACGAGCCAAATTCAGAAGGAACCTTTTGCGGCAGGAGAATGGGGGTGTTGATAAAGCTGATGGCACATCGCTTCCGGCCCCGCCCTCAGCAGACGGCGCTCTCACTCCACCCGGCACTGCGACCACTTTAACAGACCTGACCAATCCCACTATCACTGTAGTGACATCCGTGACCTCTAACATGGACAGCCACGAATCCGGAAGCCCCTCACAAACTACCTTAACGAACCTTTTCTAACATATGATTTAAAAAAAAAAAAAAAAATTCTTCCTCTTCTTTTTATTATTATTCTAATTATTATTATTTTATTATTTACAAGACTTTTTTTTTTTTTTTCCACACATGAGATATTTGGGAAATAAAAAAATCAACAGCTTGGTGTGTAGCATCTGCAGCCACTTGGCAAATGAGTTTCCAGTATTGTCTCCTTTCAGTGAACATATTTTGTTTGCAAACTGTAAATGGATTTTTTTCTGAATTAATTAGACCTTTCAGTTGATAAGGGGAGTTTTTGAATTTTTCTAATAAGTGCCTCTTAAAATTGTATGTTACTTATTTCCAGAATCTCAAAGGAAAAGAACAAAAATCACGCTGTATCGTAATTGACAAATAATCATATTCCCAGTCAAATAATTAGGTTACTAAAGAATCAGATGAGTGATCAGTTATTTTTTAAGCTTTGCAATTGTCTGTGTGCTTATGGAATTTTACAAACGTCACATTAAAAAAAAACAATGAAAGTAAAAATTTTTGGTTGATTCATATTTCTTGCATAGTCAATGCAAATGAGGAATGTTATTAAAGAAAAGTATTAGTTATAATTATTTTTAATGTTAATGATAGTTAGTGAGAAATCGATTCCAAGAGCGTGACTGTTCTTTCTCTTAGAGATGTACAGCCCAACAAAACTTTTTATTTCATAGTTTTTCAAAATTTGAAAAATTAAACTTCCTGTGTATCCATGAAAATTCCACATAGAATTTGAAATTCTATACTTTTAACCTCCGCAAGTCAATAGTGATCATTGTGAAACTGTTCTCTCTAAATTATCCTCCCCCCAGGGAAAATGGAAATAAGCAAAATATAATTTTTTAAGAAGTTAAAAAATTGATTTAGTTTAATTAATAGCTCTATTGATTGGCTTCAGATGTACCATAAGATTGTATCTGGCATTCTATATGAATAATGTTAAAAAAAATTTTTTTTTTTAAGGAAACTTAGTAGACTATTACAAACAATGAGAATTCCTTGGTTTTGTTTTGCTTTGTTTTATTTTGGCACAGGATGATAATTGTGTTGAAGAAAATTTTTTTTATGGCATTAGAGATTTGAAGTTATTAGTCTTACAGTAGATAAACTCAGAAGCCTTGTGGATGCTGATCTGAATATATTTCCTCGTTTACAGTAACATTTTTTTTTTCCCCCTTTTAATTTAAGCTAAAAATCTTAACTGGTCTGGGCAGTGGTGAATGTTCATCTATATGCTTCTGTTGTAGTTAAATACCAATTAGATTGTGGATTTCCTAAAAAAAAAAAAAAATTTTAAAAGAAGTCAAGATATATGTCTTGCTTTAGTGGATTGTTAAGGATAACTTTGCACATATTCTCCACTTTTTGGACCCCTTAAATCTCCTCTGGTGGTCGAAGTGGCTATTTAATAGATTTTAAAGGTGTCCTTCTGGCTGTATAAATGTGTGGTTAAATATTGACAGTTCACTGCCCACATTAAAGTGCATTATTGTAACTTTTGCTCAGGGTCTTTAGAAAATTAGCACAGAAAGTAGCTTATTTTTTAAAAAAAAGATGATGGAAGAGAAGTTAACACTGTAACAGAAGAAAAGTGTGATTGCCATTATATATTTAGCAAGTGTGGTTATCATCTTATATGGAGCTTAAATCTTGACTTTTCATATTTCTATTACATTTTGGGCATTTACCACTAACCAGACCAAACAACCTTGGTAAGGCTGAGATCTTATTAATACACTTTTACAGGTAAAATATTGATACTTATAAATTTTGTTCTTTGACAGAACAATATATGGTACTATAGATCTACTTTATTAAGTAGACTAATTATAAACTCAGTTCTCCTATGTGCCTTATGATATAACTTGGAAGTAAGTTTGTGAAAAATCAGGATATATGTGTTGTTTGTTAAATTAACTGTTTTAAGCCCTTTTGACACCTCACTAGTTTTGTACTGTTTTACCTCTTATTTCTGAAACTCTTTTTATGGTGTATCCTGTTAGAGGGAACAAACATGTCATAGAAAGCAGTTGTGCACTCTTTCAAATATAGTTGATAAATTCAATAATCTTATATATTGAACTTCGTGTTTATAGTACAGTAAGTGGTCTAGCAAAATTGTCCATGTTTCTTTGTTTATTGATAAATGCATTGTATAGAAACTATTTCCCCTAAATATTTATGGACCAAACAATTGTGATATATCCTATTAAATTTGTGTGAATAAACCATTTTGAATCTAAGGAGTTTTATTTCCCATCAGTTTCATTTAAGGTTTAACTGAACTACTGTATATCCAATAACAATATGTAAAATATATTAAAATGGTAATACAAAAATCTTTAAATAGTGAAACATACAAATAGATTTTAGATTTTCAAACTGCGGATTCATATTAAATTTACACACCATTGCCTCGACAGTGTAACTCAGCCTACAAATACCTTTAAAATATATTTTTTTATAATAAAGTAATGCCCCACTGATTTGACTCAGTTCAATTTTTAGAATTAAAAAAGAGAGAGAATTAGCAGCTAAAGTAATTGCATGAAAAAAAATCTTAAATATGATTAAGATTTAATGTTAGGCCTATTGAGCACAAATGGATATTTGTAAATCTAAAAGAAATTGAAGACCCCTAAAAGCCAAGTTGCTCTGTAGTTAATAAATTGTCACTATGATTTTTTTCAGGGAGAACAAATCTTGGGGCATTACAGCCAAACATCCCGACGTTTGAAAATTCCCTAAAGTATTAAAAGAAGGGGAAAAGTTTGATCGGAAATCCACTGCAGTGAAGACAAAGAGAATATTAGGTTATGATAATCATACATTAAAAAAATTTATTGAGCCAAAAAAAAAAAAAAAAAAGAGCGAGCGAGAGAGAGAGAGAGACTTAAATGTCATTTACTGAATGTTAACAAAACAAAACTTTTGTTATTTTATGGAGTCTAGCACAAATGAAGGATTAAAATGATGTGGTTTCAAACAAAATTAGATAAATCATGTATAAATCAGAGCAACCTGGCAGTCACATGCACACCCATATTTGATGAAAATTTTTATTGAAATAAAAATCCACACATTTGTCAAGCACAAGTAGTTGTAAAATAAAGTCCAAAAACATTCATGCCACCTGTTGGTAATTTGTATTAGTTCTATCTGTTAATGGCATTTTTCCATTGTAAATTCTAAGAACTATCACTCATTTAAGAGTATAGGGATCAAAACCCAGTAATTTTAGTATTATTGTTTATTCTTTCTTTTTTAAACAGAAAACTCTGCATGCACTTTTACATCTGTCACCTGTAGTGTACGTCTCTGTATGATACTTCTGTTCGCTGTTTCTTGTATGATAGCTTTCATTAATAAACATTTTATTTGATGCAAACATAGTTAACTTTATGTCAAACACACACTGTTGAACTTAATTTTGAACACTTTCTTCTTAGGCAGCATAGTACATTTCCCATTTGTTATACTTAAGAAATAATTCAAACAATATAATGAGGTTAAATTCTGGTAGTCTAGAATAAAATTACTTACTTGGTTTTTAGCTTTCCATAACTTATTCCTCGTTTGTTGTATTCAATCGATACATGTATAAAAAATGTTTTAAAACAAACAAAACCCAAATTACAATTAAAAAAATAAATAAACCTCAGAATAAATTGTTATGTAAAATTTCAGCAACTTTTTTAGATTATTAGGGTAAAATTGATGGATCCTCTGTAAGTTTACATGTTAGCTATGCAATGAGCAAATTTATTGAAGTATACAAATATATTTTGAACTATGAAAAGGTTGATCTTTGCATAGTTCAAGTTGCATATGATATTACAAGCAAAAGAGCAAGTAGAAGGAAAAACAAATATTTAGGAATGAGGTTTTTTAATTATTAAAGGAAATATTTGAAGAATTTTTTAACTCTTCCTATTTAGCTGTATATCCAAAGCATATGTTAAACAAATTAACATATAAAATACTTTCCAGAAAATTTTTCATTATGATGAAATTTTTATTATATACAAATGAACCCTATGTAAATGATGTAACTTTTATGAACGATAGACATTAAATATTTCACTTACATGTAATCTCAGAATTTTGAATGTTTTCTTAAATACTTTCACTTCCTGAATACTAGAAAAAGAAAAACTTTTTTAAAAAAACAGAGCGCAACTTACTATTTAATAATAAAGCAATGCACCATGACAAGTAGACTATTTTGAGTGATCATGAGACATGTTGGTTTTGTCAGTAACTTGAATGTTTATGCCTCATTGAAACCTCATCCATGGCTGTGGCAATTTAAATAGATTTTCCAATACATTGTCAGTCAGTTTATTCTGATCTCTGTCCTACAGCTTTACCTTTTCTCCTTGTTCTGTCACCTATGGCAGTTTAACTTAGAAATATTTTGGAACTTCGCCTGGTTTTACAGACCTTTAAATATTTGTCTGGTATGTGAATTGCGGGGAAAAGACCAAAGGGGGAAAGAAGTGAAATTAGGCATCTGAAAAAAATAATACAAATTTGAAACAGGCACATTTTTTAAAAGTAAAAGCAAGGAGCACTAATTACATGAGGGGGGGAAGGAAACAGGGAAACAGGCATGTGATGCATTGTTAGAAGGTCTGTCAGGTTTACCCGAGATGCTCCTCGGTCTTTGAGTCTGGGTAACTGCACACAATGTTGGGTAAGGAATGGGAGAACGTGGACTTCTTAGTTGGGAGCATGGCACTAGATTTTAATAGCTTCTACCTTCCAAATCCTAGGTTAGTTTAACTTCTGGCAAATTGATCTTGGACAAAACAACTTGACTAAGAGGTAGTGTCTGATAGCTTTGATTGAGTACCCACCTTAACACTGACTTACTGCACATAAGGGATAGGCTTTCTATACCTCAAATAAGCATAAAACACCGTAAAAAAGGGATTCAACACAAACACTTTTGAAACCTTGGTGAATTTTTCTTTCTTGTCACCTAGAAAATATGTAGTTTTATTGAACAAAACCCAAATGGCATCGTTTGGCAATCTAATTGTACTTTCTTTTGCAATAACCTTTCTTCAGACAAAGCATTTCATAAGTTTTTTTTTTTTTTTACCCCCCTCTCATTCTGTGTTGCAATGTGGCTATAAGGAATATCATGGTGGTAAGCGTTAGAAGTAGGAAATTCTGGAGTCATGTCATTCTAAGTTTCTAAAAGGAATATTAAGAGATAATACTATTGTTGTATATAAAAAGTTGGCTCTTCAAACCCACCAGTTGCTCTCAGAGACCCTATATGGAGTCACTATGAGTTAGAACTGACTCAATGACACTTAACAACAACAACAAAAACTAAGTTTTGCTACTTCAGTTTCAACTACATTAGAATCAATTCTAGCTTAACTATAGAGAGAGTGCCTCGTATTCTTGAGAATACCTTTTGCATTTTATACTCTTGAGACACCAAGAGTAAAATAAGGACATTAGGATTTAGTCCAAATTGGAGAAATCATAAACTCTAGATTGACCTTTTGGATCTATTTTATATTTTTAGTAATTGAGAATCAACTCTGACTATTCAAATAAATAAAAACTTTGATGCAATGTTACAGTCCTTTGTTTTACAGACAATAAAAAATAGGGAATTGTTTTCTTTATGGTGTACAGTTGATTTTGAAGTACTTTAATAACATCTAGTCCTTATATTATGCTTGCAGAACAAAATGATCATTTACCTTATTTTCAAAATAAATTACAGCTACAAGCTAATATTTTTAATACCCTCTGGGAAGATTTCCATTTTATCTGTTGTCATTGCAAAAAAAAAAAAAAAAAAAAGTTCAAAATGTGCATGGCACTGTAGGAGAAGTCTATGAAT